CGGCAGCTAAGTCGGTTACTTAGTACACGTATTTGTTGTTAAACTGACAAATTTTTACTGTTTACCGCCGAACGTGAATAACTGCTAAAGTAAACAATGGCGAGCGGCAAAGATCAAAAAACCATTTCAAATCGACCAAAAACGAAAAAAGCGAAGAAAAAGCCGCACCGATGACGCGGAGAACAACGGTATTGGATTAAGCAGCGATAACTACAGCGACGCCTTACTTAATCGATGCTACTTTGTGGCTCCCGAAAAGCTAAACAATAATAATAAATAGAGATAACATAGCAACAACAATAACAATAAGATAAGAACAAACACATAACATGATAAATATGTATGAAATGGCAACGTAGCCCAACGAATTTAAGGTGAGTGGCTGTAGAATCTAGAAGCAGAAGTTTAAATGAGTATGCGCTTGTTTGTATGTGTGAGGCAAGGCACGAGATGACTTTTGAGGTTGCAGCTGAATTGTTGGGCGTTTGCACTGATGTGAAAACAACTGTTAAAATATCTGTGACGAAACGTCTTTTCCGATTTTACCCGCCGCAAACGAGTCAGCAGCGCATGCGGAGAGGGGAGGCAGCCAATTTCATATCATTTCATTTTTCTTTTTTGCACAAATCATTTTTGACAGCGGCAATATGGTGAAGTCACCACTCGCACAAGTGCTGTTTAGCATCACAATGCGAGGGTACAAGCATATGAATAATTTTTAAACGTAGCGGCGCACATATATACATAAATATGTATGTGAATGTATGTGTGTGTGTGTGTATTTTGTAGTACGCGCTTAAGTGCGGAGGGTTCGAGCTCACCGCAGCCAGCAACCGCAGCAAATCGCTCCTGTTTACACGCAGGACAACACAACACCATCAAAAAAAAAAAAAAAAAAAAAAAAAAAAAAAAAAAAAAAAAAAAAAAAAAAAAAAAAAAAAAAAAAAAAAAAAAAAAAAAAAAAAAACGAAAAACATATGTACTTACAGCAGTAAAAGCAACAATTTACGAATTGTCATATACAAAATGGTTTTTCAATTAGTATTACTAACATAGCACGGCGCCATGAGTGCGCATGCGGCTGGCAGCCATAAACGCATTCACAAACGCACGCACAGGCGAGATAAACTAACAAATGGCGATAGAGACAATGCCGTTGGCAATGCAAAAGTCATGCTTCTATGCCCACCAAACATGTCAAAATTATTTATAACATCACAAACCCAAGCCGTTTGAGGCGACCCCTTGGCAAAAGCAACAACTAAACGCAGACACCAGAAACAAAACCAACGAGCAAACATATAAAGGTAATAAAAATTTCCAACTCACAGCATTGCTGGCTCTTTAATGTCACACAGGATAAAAAAGGGAAGTAGGCAGGATGGCGGATGGCAGCAAACCGATGAACACAGTAGTGGCCACAACCGTTAGGTGATCAGAACTGTAATACTCCGTAGCAACTGGTTGCAAGATTATAAAAAGTATTTTAGTATCTCGTATTGTCCTATAAAATATTTTCTTAGTCAGTAGAAAAGTATTCCTCATATGAAACGTTTTAAATTTGCTGTTAAATTTTGTTTTCAAAACCCACAGCCTAAAAGTACTTTGTGTGATTAATATTTTGAGTCACTGTGCAGCCTATTTGTTTTCTGACTATGTGTGGCCGCGAATACTTTTAGGTACCGGAGGGTCTGTTAGCTCAAAAACCAGTGTGTGCTTTATCAAAAACACGCGATCATACATAAAGTAGTGGCAATAAAAATACAAATACATGAAAATATTAAGTGTCACCCGAGAACATGGTGGACGTCAACTAATTCAGAGTCCGCAATACGCATACCTATGTATATACGTGTATGTACATACTTACAATCGAGTTCACACTTCGATACGTTACATCCTCGTCACTCTGCTCATTTCAATATTGTCAAATGTTGTGGGGTTCAGCACAATGGCCTCAGTCACTTATGTACATCTAATATCGTTGTGGTTAGTATTATTTATAAAAAAAATTTCAGGTTTCTGTGCCTACTTTTTCCTTCTGATATTACATATTACAGTGATCAAATTGAAGGGTAGGTTTTGTCCATTTCATCTCATTCAAATTGGGGATTACTTCCCCCTGCAATATACTTATGCCAATGAATTTTTCAGTCTCCATATCACTTGGAAAAATCCTCCGTCGTGATGGTCATCAGAGCCTTCTTCGATTCAGCTTTTATATTCTCAATTGAGTCAAAACGGTGTTCTCGGAGTCTTCGTGAATTTGCTGAATAGCCAGAAGTTAGACGAAGGTAAATCAGACGAATGCGGTGGTTGCGGCACGGTATTAGCTGAAAATGTGGCGAAATAATCACGAATAACCAATGCAGTATGAGTTGGTGTGGTGCATTATCACACTTCTTTGTTCAACTAAATCAGTTATAGTAAAAATCGAAGAATTAACTTTTAGAGCCTCACAAAACGACGTCTATCTCAAATACTAATAAATATTTTGACGTGAAATTTAGTATCGATGTCACTAACAGTTTTTTGGTCAAAGCGCAAGGGTTCTTAACAGTTTTTCTAGAAGATGAATGAAACTAACCTAATTAAAAAGTTAATGAAGGAAGAAATATTCTAATATATTTTTTAATATCATGGAATACTATCTATACATCATATAAATGTTTATCAAATTTAAATTGTTCTAAAATATTCGTAAAATGCTACACATAAAACACAATTTGAAATATTTACAAGGCCGTTTGGCTAATGGCCGAGACATCGTAATTAACTTTAGGTGCCCATAATAAAAATAAAAAAATAAAAATAAATAATAAAAAAAAAGAATTAAATGAAAATTTCAAAGACAACTCAAAAAATACACACGAACTTATAGCCCACGAGAAATTTGAATATTTACGACTGCATTTGCTACTTGAAATTTGTGTTGATAAAACAAAATTCGTCTAAAGCTTTTAAATATAAAATATTATATTTTGTAGAAGTCAACAACATTTCCAAATGTAATTAACTTAAAAAGTCTTGAATTTATGTTTTAATTTGAATTTAGTGAAATGTTTAAAGCCAAAAGCCTATTGTTGCCCTAATTTATGGGAAAGACGGGAGAAGGTTTGAGTTTGTGTTTTCGTATAGGAATTGCCAGAGTAACTGTTAAAATATGCATACATATATGTATATTCTATTCATTAGCCGATCATAATTGCATAACAGAGGCATTGAACACGCTGGATTTATGCTTCAGTTTTCCAAATAACTACCGTTACTTTGCGCAAATTGTTTAATGTTCTTCGTTTTACCACCTTCGGATTATACGCATAACCGCGTTACTTATATTTGACATATTACGGTTTTACATGCACAAATCTACATTTCTCTAGATTAACATTTTCGTTTGTTTAGCCAAGTTTGTGCAACACTTAGTCGCTTCATAAATATTCGTAACGCTTTATGAAGTTAATAAAGAAGCTCTTCCATACCATAAACAACAAATAAATGAGGAACCAACTACTTTGCCGACTTCACATGCCACATAAAAATCACGAACGCTGCCGACGGCTAAATGCCAACGTTCTAATGAATATGCAATGATTCCACAGTTATAGCATACATTTATGTCTTTGCTCTCTCTCGTTCTCTTTTTCTATTGCTGAAACCTCAAATTTATGACAGTTGCTACACCAATGTTTAACATAAAATTCGCGTATTTCTTAACTTAGGGGATCTAGCAGAATTGAGTTTGGTTAATTAATGGTAAAAAGTTGTTCAGTCAGTCGGGAGTTACTTTATAGTGGATTTGACATTTTTATACTCTCGCAACAAAGTTGCTAAAAGTGATCAGGGTGACGAGTAGAATTGAAATCCGGATGTCTGTCTGTCCGTCCGTCCGTGCAAGCTGTAACCTGAGTAAAAATTGAGATATCATGATGAAACTTGGTACACGTATTTCTTGGCTCCATAAGAAGGTTAAGTTCGAAGATGGGCAAAATCGGCCCACTGCCACGCCCACAAAATGGCGGAAACCGAAAACTTATAAAATGTCATAACTAAGCCATAAATAAAGATATTAAAATGAAATTTGGCACAAAGGATCGCATTAGGAAGAGGCATATTTACACGTAATTTTTTTGGAAAAGTGGGCGTGGCCCCGACCCCTACTAACTTTTTTGTACATATCTCGAAAACTACTATAGCTATGTCAATCAAACTGTATAGAATCGTTTCTTTTAGGCATTTCCATATACAGTTCAAAAATGGAAGAAATCGGATAATAACCACGCCCACCTCCTATACAAAGGCTATGTTGAAAATCACTAAAAGTGCGTTAACCGACTAACAAAAAACGTGAGAAATACTAAATTTTATGGAAGAAATGTCAGAAGGAAGCTGCATCCAGGCTTTTTTTTAAAATTGAAAATGGGCGTGGCGTCGCCCACTTATGGACCAAAAACTATATCTCAGGAAGTACTCGACCGATTTCAATGAAATTCGGTGTATAATATTTTCTTAACACCCTGATGACATGTACGAATGGGTGAAATCGGTTGACAACCACGCCTGAAATCTCGATTATCACTTTATCATGCGAGAGTATAAAATGTTCGGTGACAGCCCTTCCTTACTTGTTTTGTAAAACTGTTAATTCTATTTATATTATGCATAGAGTTTCTGTTAGTGTAACGAATTTGTCTAAATAAACGTAATTGTATTAAAAGTCCTCACCTTATTTCTGCCGATAGCATTTCAAAAAAGTAACGGGAAGAACGTATTTAAATCTGTATTTCTATCGTTTTTGGTTATAACATACTTTTCTCCTGATTTTCCACATTGTTAGGTGGACTTACATCTCTCATTTAGAGACTTCATTATAGATTAATGTCATTTTCACATACTACCCCATTCCTTAAAGAGCCTACATTTACAAATAATTTAGATTTTCCTATATTTTTACTGCTCAATAATTTACTAACATATACATTTTCATATTCTCCTTACAGACTGAGCTGCGTTCATGCGCGGCATGTGGGGAGCCAATCTCGGATCGGTTTTTTCTCGAGGTTGGCGGTTGTTCGTGGCATGCCACCTGTTTGCGCTGTTGCATCTGTCAATGCCCGCTCGACCGACAGCAATCGTGTTTCATCCGCGAACGGCAAGTCTATTGTAAAGCAGACTATGGCAAGTAAGTATTAACCGGCAATGCGAGAGAGCAGAACACATACTTAAAACATGTAGGGATATCAGTGAGTATGCATGTAAATGTAATGAATTTGCATGTGTGTGCTAAATAATATGTAACTGTGTTGTGTGTGAATTTATTAAGGCAGAATATCAATGATAATAAAGAATAATGTGAAAAAAATTGTGGTTAGTTCACAGATGATATGATTTCCAAGTGTCATTTCGACAACATTAATATGTCGTTATCTGTAACTAGAACAAAGTTCACAAATTATTCAATTTTATAGTCAAAACAAGCAAAGAAGATCTATTTTCGGGTATAACCGAACATTTCATACTCTTGCAACTTGCAAAGTTTAAAGCCAGGGAGTAACTTCTACTACATAAGGCTAGTTAGTTACATTGGTTCCATGGCGAGTTTCCACCCGAAGGCTTTGCATCCGTATACTTACGGATTCTGCTTGGAATAACTTGAAAACGATAACAGTTTTTTAAGAAAATTATTTTTTCCGATGAGGCTCACTTTAGTTTAGTAGTGTGGAAGAAACCATGCTAATTACCGATGAACATCCATTACATTCACCAAAATGTCTTTGAAGGTTTTTTATTGTTTTGTGTGGTTTTTGGTTTGGTGGAGTCATCGGTCCGTACTGCTTTCGAAATGAAGCTGGTGACATCGTTACTGTCAATGTAGAGAGGTATTGATCGACAATAACTAACACACACAGGACGTGCAACAACCCAAACATTGCAAGAAAAGTTTGAAGATTCGATTCGAGAGATTTGAATGGCCTCCAAGAAGTTGTGATTTAACAACATTTTACTACTTCTTATGAAGTGATTTAAAGTCATTAGTTTTTAGCAATAAACCATACCCTATTCAAAGGCAATATTGGACGTAGTATTCGTGACATACGACTTGATTGAACCCTGAACCAGGTGGCTGAAAACGTGGTTTATTATACTATGGTACGAAAGGCCAATTGAAAATCTTCGCGTCGAACCGGATACAAAAAGAAGCTTGTCGTATGGATGAAACATGAGTTAATCGAAAAAAAAAACTTCATTAACCGAGTATCCATCTGTGAATCGCAATAAAATCGGGCCATTTCTAAAACGTATGGTTTCTCGTATTAAAAAGTGGGGCACTTATGTAAGTCAACGTCTGGCGATAATGAATGGGGTCGAATCGCGTTGAGCCGTGTCAAACGGAGGCCAAGCCTGGATTTTTTGAACAAATATTTGACCCCAATGGGATCATTTTAATTGTACTCTATAAAACCTTCAATTACATGGAAAACTAAAGATATTTTTTTACTAGAAAAGAAATTTGTAAAAAATTTCCATTTGCCCGATTAAAGAATGTTTAAAAATCCTTGTTGTGAACTTAGACTTAAAAACGATCATGTATAATTGTACAACTATTTTCTCAAACATTTTAATTGTACAATTTTCGTGATATCAAGATTTCGAAAGTTAAATTTCTGTTTTGGATTTGTTTTTTTTTTGTTGTTAAGCTTTCGGTAAAATTTCACTTCAGCTCGCCATATTTATGCTTCAATTGGTATCTGTTTTCATAACTGGCTGGACAAATTTATAAGAAACAACAACTACAAAAAAGATAGCATTCAATAATTGTCATTGTTTGGAATATTTGTATACATTTGTATTTATGTCACCTATAATGGAAACCATATATTCAGGTGTCGAATAAATATTTTCCCACACTCCCAAAATATAAACGAAGTCAAAAGTATGATATGAAAATATTTTCTAAACTTTTAAATGTAAGGCAGCTAAGAGCATTTGATTCAACACTTTAAGCTGAAAAATAAATAAAAAAGTTCAAACATGAAAACGCAAAGAAATAAAATAAACACGGTAAACTACATACATATGTGCATATGTAGGTACACGCATGCGTTTGTGTGTGTAAGCGTAAAGGCAACAAAAACAAAATAATATTAAATGCAAAGCTAGTAATGTTTATAAAGTAGATTTTCGCTTCGATTTGCCTTCCACTCGCTCCACTACTATGTGTGCTTGTTATACCCTGAACAGGGTATATTAAGTTTTTAACACCAAGAAGGAAGTTCCGGAGACCCTATAAAGCATATACATATATAAATGACCAATATATCGAGTTGTGTCGATTTAGCCATGTCCGTCTGTCTGTCTGTCCGTCTCTCTGTATATATACGAACTAGTCCCTCAGTTTCTAAGACATCGTTTTGAATTTTGCAAACGACATTTTCTTTTCAATAAGCTGCTCATTTATCGGAACTGCCGATATCGGACCACTATGACATATAGCGGCCATACAAACCGAACGATCGGAATCAAATGCTTTCTCATTTGACGATATACATACCTTCTCGAAATTTGGTATGAGTTACTGTTTATAGAAATAATGTAATATCAGAAGAAACTGTTCAGATCGGATTACTGCAGCCCATAGCTACTATACAAACCGAACGATCGGAGTCAAGGGCTTGTATGGAAAACTTTCGCATTTGACCTGGTATCTTCACGAAATTTGGCATGTATTACTGCTTAAGGTAACAATATATCCAAAAAAAATATTCAGAACGAATAAATATAGCATATAGCTTCCATACAAACTGAACACATACTTACTAATAGAAATACACCTGTGAAGGGTATTTCTTTTCTTGTTTATTATTGTTTTTGTATTATTTAAGCATGTTTATTTAACTTTATTTTCGTGTTTTTTCACACACTATCTATCTACTGTCACTTTGGATTTTCAATTCCATTGAGTGGCATGAGTCGGTACAATTGCTTTCCGTCGCGGAAGGTGTCCCCAAAGACGGCGGCTGCGCCTCTGCTGCGGCCTTTACATCAGTAATGCCCCCATGGACTTGTTGGCTACGACCGAGCAGACGCGCACACACATACACACATTTATTTGTATGTGTAAAGATAAATACGTGGCAGAATTGACTGCTGGGCCAAGGCAGGAAGGCAATGCTCAAAGCAGTGCATGCTTGTTGTTGTTGTGTGTTGAAAGAGATGAAACGAAAATGACTGATGCGGTTGTAAAAATATTTATTTTCCAAGCTAAGAATTTTAAGTTGATTGTTGTTGTCATTCGCATTGCTGATATCGATCGTGTTGCTTTAGTTGTTGTTGTTGTTGTTACACAAACGTGCCAGTCGCACCAAACAAGCGACCAACTAAGAATAACACAGCATAAATATTGTTGCTTTAATTTTAGTTTCTTTTTCTCAACTTTTATCTGTAAGATACACAATCGAGTCATTGATGCAGATGTCGCCAAAGCGATTGAGCGCACACACACGCACCTTCGCGTGTATCTGGCAGGCGAGGTGTGCGCTGCCGAATCCGGATCGGCGCGTTGCAAACTGCAGACTCATTTCGAAAAGTGTCAATTGAAGAAGTGTGACGAGGCGAACTGCGATGAAAATAAAAACGCGTGTGTGAGTGTGCGTGTTGTAAGCCAAAATGTCAATACAGACACAGGCTTATGCACACACACACACACACACAAAGGCACAATCCAGCGCACTCACTCATGCTACTTCCGGTGACAAGTGCGCGCACTTTGCGCATCAGTCAGCCTGATTTGAATGCTGCGACAGGATTTGCTGAATCTCAAATGCGGCACACCTACACATATACATAACTGCTGTTATACAAATGCACAGCCACTTGCGCTTTACGTTGCTGCTTAAACACTTTAACTTTTACACCAAAAGCACTTAATGGCGTGCATTGAATTTAATCCGCGTCTTAATGCCTCAAATTAGGTTCCACCTAAAATAGTTTTACTGTGTCACTAGCATTTTATTTGTACTCCTACATATCTATATTTATTTTTTCTTTCATTTCTTTAATTTCAGACGTTTCGGCGCAAAATGCTCAAAGTGTTGTCGTGGCATCTCGGCGACGGATTGGGTGCGTCGCGCACGGGACCTCGTCTTCCACTTGGCGTGTTTTGCGTGCGATCAGTGCGGACGACAACTTTCTACCGGCGAACAATTTGCTCTGATAGACGATCGGGTGCTGTGTAAGGCGCATTACCTGGAAACGGTAGAAGGTGGCACCACATCAAGTGACGGTAAGTGCGACCACTTGCAGAATTATTGGAAAAGCTAGTTTTGATGTTCATTTCGGTTGGTCTAATTAATTATATTAGTTGGATTAATTTGGTATTCGAATACTCGGAAAACTTGTATTATTATAATCAAAAATCCATCGAGATTGCTGAAGATGATCTAAAATTCAAAAAAAAAAAAAATATTTTTATAAAGATGAATGCAAGTTATGATGGCTAGTCCATAATTTTGATTTCTGACAATAAGGCGGCTTTCCAACCATAAGGCGTTTTTTGTGGGAAAAATTCTTACAAGTACGTCCAAATCTTCGAAAATATGTCAGATCAATTTCAAATTTCCGGTGAACTTTCTCAAATATAAGTACATTCAATATATTTAAAAAAATTTATATATTTTTGTAATTCACAGAAATCCGTAAGTAAAGCTTCAGCTTTCTATAATTAAGTAAACATTATAAAATAGTTCATATTGAGGTCAAATTGGTTTTAAGAAAGTCTTCTGTCAACATCCCAGTCTTTCGTCTGACTTTGGCTAGTCACTGAAGAACTGAATATACTTCACAAACTCTTTTCAATCTTATAACATTTGATAATACAATTTGAAGAATAGTAATGATTAATTAGATACTCAAAAAATGGTAAGGATTACCGATGTTCTTCATGAAGAAACACCTATGCTAGACTAAAGTATTTATAGCATCTTTAAAATGTATTTTAAGCCAGTAAATGTTCAGCTAAAATAGTTCCACGGCATAATCGGCATTATTGTCACACAAGTGCGCGCTCACTTTAAGGCTTAGAAAGCGGTAAGCTCCGACACGACTTGCACCACTTGCCAAAGTAGACAGTAATTCATGCAACGATTATTGAGACCGACTTATTGTAACAATGACAAAAGTGCAGACACCCTAGAACAAAATATGAAACACCAACAAAACAATTCGAAAAGCTCAAAACCTAGCCGTGGCGAATTCGGTTTGAATGCCTAGAAAAGCCACTACCATCACAAAGAAAAAAATAGACCGAACTGCAGTTGAGTATTTAGACCGCCTGGGTGGGTGACGTCGGCTGTGGCATGCAAAACAGTTGCACATTTCAGACACGTCCGTATATTTAGGATGGCAACATGGCAGCTGGCATCCCTGGCAAGAAGAATTGCCTCGCTGACTGCGCGCCACACACTTTTATACGCACATACATGCGGCTTGGAAGCAAAATATGGCCAAAATATGTATGTACTCGTATGTGTTCGTGCATGTGCTGTGTGTCAGTGCGTTTGTTTATTTGCTGGCTTCTGCACTCGTTGGCCGCCACGTTTGACTAATAAGAACCATGTCAAAACAACGCATGTCAAATGTGACGTCACAAACAAGCTAACGGTTGAAAACGTTGACATCCAAGTATATACATACACATCTACACACACGTGTTCACACCCACGTATTCATTTGTTTTATGAGCTCCAGCATTAACATGTCTGCTATGGAATATGCATGCGCCGGTAGCCGTGGTTTTTGCTGTGGTCCACAGAGGGGCAGCGCTACACTCTCGGTGTTTATGCAACTCCCACAAGCTGGCAGCTTTGCACAGCCACTTTTGCGTTTGTGTGCCGCTCACTTTTAAGCCCTAAAACGCATGCGATCGCATGGCTTTCAGCAGGCAAAAAAAAAGCAACTAAAACACTCAAAAAACAATATTGTCACAAATATACATATGTATGTACATACCCGAGAATATATGCATAAATACATGTGTGTGCGCATTTTGAAGGCTACAACCGTTTGTGTCAACTTTGTCTACAGTTTGCTCAACCCCAAGTCCTAGTGTGTATATATGTATGCATGTGGTGGGGCCTTCTAATACACACATTACTTAATAGCGCAGCAGATTAGTATCCTCTGCCATATACTTAGTCACTCGTGTTATCATATTTGTTTGCAATGCGGGCCAACGGTGAGGCCTACAAAAGCTTAAAAGTGCCAGTTTTATGGCATTTGCTTCTATTGCACTTTGTCATTTTGCTGGTGTGTGCAATCATTTTCGTTTTAAACTCTGCAACGTGCAACGCATGGTGTCCTTAAATGCCCTACGGCAACTGGAGTGCTTAAATACACTTTTAAATGGTTCTCTGTAGAGACTTTAAGTCTTTAGTAGCTTTGAAGAGTAGAAGCTAAAGTGTTAGAACACTATAAAGCTATGCATTTTAAGTCAGAATTAAACAAAAAAAAGTTCTATTGCGTATTACCAATTGTCAAATTAATCTTCCCATTCCTAAACTCTATCTATAGTTTCAGCTGATATTGGCATAGAATTAAAATAATATCTCCTAGAAGGATATAAGATATGACATTTGGAGTAAGAGCTAAATTGGACTATTTAATTATTGGGAAAAAAGGATGCCAAATATGCTATGTGATCAAATTTGACCGGACTGGCAATATTTTCAAAGTTACAAAGCCTTATTATCGGCTTTAAATAAACCTCACTTTTTCCATATACTTAAACTTAATAAGTCTCGGCTGGGATGGCCTTTAGTGCCTTCATTTTGTTTTCCTTTTTCGGCTCATTATTGGAGAGCCAATTCATTACACTGTTGAACAGTTTCCAACCCATATTTAGCAACCCACACCTCATCATCAGTAATGAGCAGTTTGATGCATTTATGGTTCTCAGCTATGTTGTGAAGCATCTCATTTGCAACTTCTAAGCGCGAGTCTGGCATTGTTACATTTCAAACCCAAAACATTAACTGAAATGTATTGAGCCAATCAAAAAAAAAAAATAATAATAATGTGATCCTCTGTTGTTTCTGTAATGTTAATACGCTGATTTTCCAACACTATTCTTTCACTTTTCGATGTTATAGTTAATGACGCTCTCTTAATCGACGTCGATCGACATGTGAAGCAAGTTTTCGGTGACTTCACGACTTCAATCAAATACTTATGATACGAATCTATAAAAAAATGTGTATCGACTAGGTTTGCGTGCTCGCTTTGAATGGACGAGTCCGAGTCAGTTCTGATTATATTGCATCAGTGGTATTCCTCATGCCTGTTTTATAATGTAATCTGGTTAAGGTCATTGTCCGAAGAGATCTTCATAAGAATGTCAAGACATGGCCGTATTTGTGTCAAATTCTAAAACATTTTCGTCTCATTTGTGTACTTCTGCATAATCAAGTTAAATTTTCCATCTTCCAAAAACATGTTAACATGGCGCCACCAATACCATTTATTTGTACAAACAATCTTCATAGAATTCCAAGGCTGGTCAAATTTCAGTAAAAACCTAGTATGTAATAACAAGAACACAAAAAATATTTTTTATTTGAATTCTTCGAATATTTGCAATCATCGAATCGCACTAATAACAATTCCTCTTTACCATTTATTTCTTTTACCGTTAATCTGCACTCTGTCACCGCATTTTCGGGCATTCTACAATACTAATAACGATGCTGGCGATGTTGCTCTCGCTGATATCTCTATCGATTAACTTGATTATATTGGCGCTGGCGCTTCAATCTACACACGCACGCACATCAACAACAATAATAACAACACAATTTTTGTTGCATCACCCATTCAACGCATTAGACGGCTGTGATGGTGATGGCTATCATAAAAGTAAAACGAAACGTGTACGCACCACCTTCACCGAGGAGCAACTGCAGGTGCTGCAGGCCAACTTTCAGATCGACAGTAATCCGGATGGACAGGATTTGGAGCGCATCGCCTCGGTAACCGGTCTCAGTAAGCGTGTGACGCAAGTTTGGTTTCAGAATTCGCGAGCGCGACAGAAAAAACACATTCATGCTGGTAAGAATAAAAGTAAGTAGTTGTTGTAGTTGTAGTCGTAGTCGTAGTTGTTGTTTAGTAAAAGTAATCCTAAGGTGTGCATTTGCATGTACCTGTATGCCTGTTTCTTTTGGCTATGGTTGGTACTTACCTTAGAAATGGCTAATAGCCGACTTAAGCGTTGACACCACATAAGTGAAGTAGGCCCAGCAGTAGAAATGACACAGTTCAAGAGTTTTAAGAGTAGTTAGTTGCCCAACTTTCCTTTTAAGCCAGAAATATGTTTTTGCATATGAAATATGAAGGATATAGTGTATATGTATTATATGGAATTAACTTTATCTCTTTAGATTAGGAAATGATGTACAATTGTTGGAAATAAGTCATTCATTATTAAGACTTTCCTTAGCTCCATAACATTTGTGCATTAACTGAAGAATATAAACCATTTGTTAACTACACATTCTCAGAATCATTATTGCAGCTTATTTTTGCAACATTTCTGACATAAGTTTTTCGAAAGTCACCTTACACCACAACAAGTTCTAAAACAAAATGTTATATCTGGAATTTAAGGGAAATTTAAATTGACATCCAAAAAGTTAAAATTTCAAATTTACAAAACTAAGCTAAATCAAAAACCGTTCCATTTGACTGAATTGCAATTTGGTCGAAATGTACCTAGTTTTCATTTGAACACTAATAATCACAGAAGAAGAATACTCACAAATAAAATTCCTCCTACAGCATTTTAGTACTATTACGACTATCTTTTTTTACTTGACTTTTGGCGAGAATCTTGGCTAACTATTTCTAGAAGTACGGCGCCAGTAATTTTGGTTATCGTTTAAATTAGAAAATATGCAAAGCCGACGGAGCCTTTAGGCGATTTTAAAATATTAATTAATATAATATAAACATAAAGTGTAATCATGTGTGGACAGCGGTGTCGGTGCGGCTAAACGAGCAATGATGCAATCTTGTTAAGGCGCCACGGGAACTTATGACACTTGGTAGCGGTAGCTGCGGTGAATTTTATTTCCCTTCTCACTGGGAGACTGCAAAGAGCAGGGAGCGAATAGACTAAGCTGACAGAATGATGTAATAAGTAGGATTATTAAGCTTGCAGAAGAATAAGCTTATATTATAAAGAACTTTACATTTAAGATTTTAGAAAGGAATGCAATGATGGAAACGAAATAATTCAATTTATTAATATATATCAAGTAGAGTAAACACTTCAATAACCACTCCTATTTTCATAACAAAAAATGTTGTATTGTAGAGCATATATTTTATTAGCGTCATAGTTTAAATACTTACATACACCTGCATGAAATATTGTTGCAATGCATTTGTTTTCAAAATATTTACCCTTTACTAATATACTTAAATTAAAAGCTTCAAAATCCAGATTTCTTATATTTTATCTTCATTTCTATTTGCAGTGCGTGAACCCGAAGGAAGCTCATTTGCCCGCCATATTAACCTGCAGTTAACGTATTCATTTCAGAATAATGCCCAGAATGCTATGCACCTGAACGGCAACTCAAAGGGATTATATCCAACGCATGGTAAGTCAAAAATTTAATATTAATGTAATAATAATCTTAATGTAATTACTAAGATATAAATGTATTTGCAAAAAATAATTCTATAAGAGGAATAGGCAGATAATTGTTGAAAAAAAAATTTCATGGTGGGATGAAACCGGTCGGAAACAAAAGAAGAAGGTAAAAATAGTTTACGTGCGATCCGTGGTAGGGAAAAGAAACAGGTGGGGAAAGGTCGAGATTTTAATGGTTAAGAAAGGTGTATCTCGATTTTCAGTAAATTTACGGCTCCTATAAAGAAATGTTATATGGCAATATTATAGGTAATGAACAGGTCTATAACTTTTGCGTATAAACTTTTTTTCAAATAACTTCAACATTTAGGTGAAGTGAACAAAAAAGTAAAGTTTGTTCCAGCTGTATTACAATGGGGGTATTCAGATCGAAGTAGTTAGTTGATACTTCGTTAAAACACTTAACTGTGAACATACGTTTTGCTGTACATCAGTAGTGGGTGTAAATTTTGTTTCGGCTGATTCAATTATATTCTATTAAGTACTTACTTTTGAAAAATTTGTCAGAACTAATTTGTAGTAGACAGCAAATGTATGTTTTCGCAATGAATTAAGTTCACTTTTGAGGCAACAACGCAAACAAAGCAGCTCAGTGATGTTACCAAGTAACGAAAAAACGATCCTGTTTGGCAGTCTGGTACTTCGTTACTCGGTAAAACAATGATCTGTTAATTTTACAAAAACAAAACCCATGTAAATAACTACCGAGCAACGACTAACGAATTAACAAAGCTGGTCTGAATACCGCTAATATCATAAAGCTATAAATTGAACCCTGGTTAGTGGATTATTTAATTTATTTGCCATTAGTCTGCATAAAATGAATAAATTGAAGTATTTCCGGCTTTTGATGTTTTTGATTTATGTCTTTCATTTAGTAAAGAATCGAAATATAATAACTTTTCAATAACATCGAATTCGATGAAAAAATTTAACTTTAACAATTGTTGTAAAGTTTCAGAAGTAGTACAAATTTTCTATACGTTACATTTTACATTAACTTTGCTTATAACCCACTTCTTTTATTTTCAACTCTCATTTTAGAATCGTCCATGGATGAACTTTCGCAGGACTCGAGTGTGCATTGCATGCAAAGTGAAGTGTGACTGGAGCATTTGAACCACCATTAAAGGAGACATATACCATACATATGTTCTAAACTATTGGTGGCATCGGAGATAAAGTTACACACCTACACATGCGCTCAAACATACACTTAAGTGCGAACTTAGGAAATCACATTTCATCCGAGTTTTGTGTACAAAGGCACAAATATTCGAAAAGTTAAACCCAGTTATACATATAAAAATCTAAAAACGTCCCAACCTAGTCAAAATTATGAAAACAAAATGTTATTGCAAACAAATTAAATGCGGCAATCGAAAAACGTCCAAAAAAATGGATAAAAGCAAATGGCGAACAAACAGCAAAAATCTACGCCAAGCAGCTCTTCTGCCCAGCGGCCAGTATTAAACGTGAATATATTTCATTATTTTTTCGAAACTAGCAGTAAATGAGTTTGGACTTTTTCACTATAATAAAAAATTCACATTTATTAAAATTCAAATTTGGTGCAAAAAATGTATTTAAAATAGTCAACACTTGGGACAAAAAATATTTAAATACAATTTCACATTAGTTTCGAAAATTCAAAAATCGTGAATGTCAACCTTGAAGAGCAACGCAAATCAATACTAACTTTAGGCTTAGCAAAAACACTAAATATTTATAAATCAAAAAGATAAAACTAGTAATTATTGTGACGAAACAAGTTCAATTGAAGGCCACTCCTGTCGGCGCTGCGTGCACGCTCAAAGCGTGCCAGTGTATACTCGCATACTCGCGCCGGCGCAGCGTTGTCATTTCCATGTAAAAAAGTTAACTTGCATTAACTCTAACATTCCTTAATTGTAATTTAAGATTTCACTAGCATTTACTTTAAATCAATTATAACTGTTAAGTTTAGCAAAACAAACAAGCCAACAAAGAGTAAACACATACAAGTATATAGAATTGCATATGTACATATTAATAACTAAAGTCCTGTATATAAGACCTCGTTTGCACCTGAAAAAAATCATAAAAAAATTTAAAAAAATATTCACACACACAAACACAATTATCACCGGCGTACGTTTAGGTTTGTATATAAATTTGAGCTAGTATTAGTTAAAACGCCTAATATTAGTTAATAAAAAGAAATCAATATTTCCTCAATAAAATGTTTTACATTTATTTATGTATGTGTATGTATTAAATCTGTGTATGTACCTTATGCATAATCACTTTGACTCACACATCCTACTCTTGTACGTTTGAATGTATTGAAGCTTTGTATCGCCTTTCTGAAATATAACTTAAGCTATTGTAAAATATTTAATGTACATACATACATACTCTACTTACTTAGACGTGTATGTTAATTGCTTATATTGTATTATTAGGAATTGTTATTGTTTATTTCTTGTTTTTTAAATTTGTAAACAAATAAATATACACTCTAACTTATATTTCTTGCAGTGGAACTAAATTACAGAAATGTAAAAAAGAAGCATAAATTGTAAATTGAGTATACTTGCCAATATTAAAACTAAACAAATTATAAGGAATCTAACAGCTAGTTAACACAAATTATAAAATATGAAATTAAATACAGAAAAAATATTAAAAGAATTTTTAAAAGAAAAATTTAACACATGTGATTTCATTAATTTATAAAGATATATTTTTTCGTGGATTATTCTAGGTTTTGTTGTTGGTATTAATCTCAAATCCGGCATAACCTCAAGCTGTCAAATGTGAGAGGTAGAGGCACCTAGGCACTATACTTTTGGTGTTGTAGCTACTGTTTGCTTCATATTACTAACTCTTTTAAGAGGGCGATAAATCAATAAATAAATACTTCAGAGGCATTTAATTTCACATATATGTCGGGGTTAACAATGGACGATGGGCGCGACACTGCCGACATTTAACTGAACTAATATATCTCCTGACCTACTCAACCAATTTAAACCAAATTCACATAACACTATCCTGACATATAACAACGCCTACTCTCCATATAACACAACTTTAAATTCCATCTGTTTTTTGTTTTCACTTTCCATTACATAAATCATGGGGCAGTGAATATATGCGGATGAATAAACACGAAATCAAGCGACACAAATTGTGCCTTTGAGGTACACCAGCACGAGTCTAAACATTGCCAAAATCGGACCACACCTGTTCAAGCCCCACATTCCTAATATGTGGACCCCAATTCATATGGATGAACAGGTCAATACTTCCATTAGCCCCCATATATCTAATCTTCTTCTTCTGCTTTACTATCGTCGAAACCGCTTACTCGGTTTATGAGCGTTAATAACCTGTCTCTTATACACATCTAGATGTGTATAAGAGACAGGGTCAATACTTCCATTAGCCCCCATATATCTAATCTTCTTCTTCTGCTTTACTATCGTCGAAACCGCTTACTCGGTTTATGAGCGTTAATAACAGCGCACCAGTCGTTTCTTATTTTCGCAAGGTGTCGCCAATTGGAGATTCCAGGCGAAGCCAGGTCTTTCTCCACCTGGTGTTTCCAAGAGTGGAGGTCTCCTCTTCCTCTGCATTCCCTCCGCTTTCGTCCATTCGGATGACATGACCTAGCCAGCGTAGCTGCTGCCTTTTCATCCGCTGAACTATGTCAATGTCGTCGTATATCTCATGCAGCACATCGTTCCATCGAATGCAATATTCACCGTGGCCAACGCGCAAAGGCCACAAATCCTTCGCAGAACTTTTCTTTCGAAAACTTGCAACGTCGACTTATCAGATGTTGTAATCGTCCATGACTCTGCACCATTTAGCAGGACGGGAATAATAAACTGGCACCTGTTTTCTAGAGATATTATGCGTTCGAGGCTGACGTTGGTGTGTTGATGCTGGTTCCAAGATACACGAAATTTTCTACGACTTTGAAGTTATGACTGTCGTCTTGGCCTCGTTCACCACCAGACACTGTTGCTTCGCCAGCAGCTTCTAGAAGATGGTACCTTCTCTATTTAGTTCTGCAGCTCGAATGGTTTCCTCCAAAAGTAGGTTGAAGAAGTCGCCTTGTCTGAAACCTCGTTGGGTATCGAACGGCTCGGAAAGGTCCTTTCCTTGTGAAAATCTGGTCAGTTGCAGATTTCCCAAGTCTAAAGCCAAACTGATAAAATTCAATCAGTTTGTTGACGGTGGGCTTTGTCGAGAAGGTTTATCCCAATATTTGTGGATTATTCAAAGCACACTTAAATTCCAATCGTTGAAGACAGGTAAATAAAAATTTCCGATACTTTCTTGTCAGAATGTATTTGGCTTAGATCCTTGTTCCAATCCAATTCCTGAAATATTTACTATGTAAGCTGGGAACGAAGAACTGAACTTTATATAAAGTTTATTTTTATAAATTTTCGATTTAACATTTGTACTTTTATTTCATCATTCATTTATATCTGAAACTCAGTTTTTCTCACAGAAAGAATTTTTTTTCATTTTTTTTACCGACTTCATTGATAGATTGCCTGTAAAGGAATTGCCCTAAATAGACAACTTTTGTTCGTCGATTTGACATTTCGAATAAAATTCAGTTCATTTCCGGTCGAAGGTGCGCACGAATATTGGTAACATTGCTTGCGTACAACATAATTTTTTATAGCATTTATTTTTTATTGAGTCATCATTACTTTATGTCGGTTACAACAAACAACAACAAATGCAATGACCAACTGCACTCGTTGTAGCCTTTAAACAACGTAGACTTGGTGTCTTCATTCTCAGCTTATAAAAATGGTTAAATAAAAGTATCTCTTAGGTTGCAAGTCATGCGGACGAATTCTAATGTACTCAACAACACGATCAACTACGATGTTCCCGCATTCAATGCGGCGCGTTAAAGCAACAACGGCGGTCGGTATTTATTTTATTTTAATTGAATTATAAGCCTAGATTATGCGAAGATTTCCTGCTGTGTGTCCAACTGGTTGTGCGATCACCGGCAAACTGCACGCTTACTCACGAATGAGTAGATGGGCCAGAAGATGTAGAAGCAGTGAGAAGAGTGTTACACGGTAAACTCAAACGCTGCGCGTTGCGCCAAGTGATTTTCAATAACAGCAACTTTATGGGGCTGGCAATTGCGGCAAAGCTCTGCGTACCTCTGGTCGTGAGTAAGCAAATACATATGTGTGACGGAAAGGTTTGTGTGTAGTCTTGTTTTGTTGGTTTGGATATAGCCGAACGGGCATGTGAATCAATTTGTGAAAAGCACAATCATAAACTTCAATATTATTGATCAATGATCATTGCGTCCAATAACGACGATGAGCTCGACTGCTACGACCGTCAACTGTTTGCGACATCAATGATCCAATGATTATTCGAGTTGTGTAAACAGCACAAATGATCGCTGAGCTTATGCCCTATATGAATATGATGCCTTTAATATCCTTAATATGGTCTTGTACATTTGCAGTTGTGTTATGATTGTACACAGCGACCTTGAGTATTACCTCCTACAACTACCCGAACAGGATACCCCAACAGGCGATATATTGAACGAGTTAATCTGGTAATTTACAAAACCTGTTGACATCATGTATCTTAACCCAAAACTTCAAATGTGTTTGTCTTGAAACGCTGTTTTAAAGGCAGTAATAAAAAGAGCTTATCCTTGATAGAAAGCTAAAGAAATCATCGGTTGCTTTTTTTCGACCTTATAGGGAAATGGAGGAGATTCTCACTGAAGTTGCAGTACGGGCTACACCAGCAACAGCACTTACTACCACACGCAATTGTCGGAGCTCTTACTTGACACAATCGAACGCAAATTGGCAAATTGTATAGAGGAGGATGAGATGTAAATATCCAGGCACTATTGCCTGCATTGTTCAGCCTTTGCAAGACCGTTGCTGAAACATCTCGCTAGTTTTACCCTCGGTGAACCAGAATATTTAGCCGAAAGTGACATTAGCCGGCTCAACAATTTGTGATAGGCTCTTAACCTAATTAATCGAAGGAAAATTTCTTCAAAACGATTTGACCGATCGACTTGAAATTTGGCACGACCTCCTCTTTTAATGTATGTCTGAAATCTCCGCAAGTAAAAAGGTTCTAAAGGGTATAAAGTGCCGGCACTGTGCCAGCGTTAAGTAGCAATATCCATGTTTGCTGTGCTACCTCGTGCTCACATCGCGTGACACAGTACAACACAGTTGCAACCGTGGCGGACAGGACATGCGCTTGATATAATCTGATGCTTAACCAAGCGAGCAGCTTACTAGGCGAAGTGTTCGCCTGACTGACCGCCCCGACAACCTTACTGGCTGTAAATACCAACAAATGGAAGGGAAATTGTAACTTTTTGTAGCTTCATCGACTCAATTCCCCTTTCCGTCAAACATAGTCGTTCGATGATTGGGTACCACATGAATTGTTTGCCAAAAATTTAAACATTTCTGAAGCGAATGTAATGTACGAAAAAAATCATGGTCCAAGCCTGGTGAAGCTCAACAAATGATCGCAAAGCTAGTATTGACGCCTAAAAATGTTATTGGAAAGAAATCATCCACTATGAGCTGCACCAGCCTGGTCGATCGATTGATTCTACATTTTACTGTCAACTACAGCAAGCAATCTAAAAAACGACCAAAACTGATGAACAGAAAGGACTTCATCTTCCATCAGGACACACATCTTTAATGAATCGGCAAAAACTGGGAGAGCTTGGCTGGGAATTTTTGATGAATCTACCCTTGCCCTGACCTTGCACCATCGGACTACCATTTGTTTTGGTCAATACATAACTCCCTATATAGAGTAAGGTTGGCTTCAAGGGAAGCATGTGAAAAGTACTTGACGCAGTTTTCCACAGAGAAAATAAGTTGAAGTTTGATTAGAAATACGAAAAGACTTATTCGACTACACAATATGATATCATTTGTTTTTCGGGTTTTCCTTTCTAGAGAAATATCTCTCGAATATCTTATATTTTATTTGATGATTTCAAAAACAAAAACTTGTATTCTTGCAAAGCAAGACATTTCATAAAAGTAAACTATCTGCGTGCATTGCAATCGCTTCCAAGCTTCGTAAGCACACCAAACAAATCGCCGTCATTAATAATGATCGCCAGCAAGATATGACGATCTTCTCACTAGCAGCCACAGACACGATCATTCGTCTTATTTGAGAGTGTGAGTATGTGTGTATGTATTTCTGAAATCTCCGCCACAGATATTTGCAATATTTCATTGGAAATGACTTGCTTAGAAAAGTGTCTGATGTTGTTACTTCTCGGCTTCCACTTAGTTAAAAATTATTACGTTTACCGATCGCGCTATGTTTGTACTGATCACTTTGTTGTTGCACTGGCAGTATGCGTTAATTTATAAAATTCTCGCATATGGTGCCTGCTGAATGTGCTGGAGAATTATGAATGATGTGTTATATTTGCCAATCGGATGTGTGTTTACGGTCACGGGAATGCGACATTGTCCACATCTTCCTATCAACATCTTCATCTGCTTTTTTATTTACATGTCAAAGCGCTTCATATCAACTGCTTGCTCTTCTACTACTTCTTTGTACACACAGACGTACATACATTTTCTTCACTTCTTG